CTATTTCCATTCATGAGCCATTGACATAAACAAAGTATAAAGAGTAACCTTGGAATTCGCACACTGTAATGTTTTCCATATTTTGCATGTAGATAAACAGAGCGATCAGCACATAAAAACGCAAGCTTTGAATAATCATCAGCCAAAACCTGAATGAGTAATGAAAAGTTGAGTCAGTAATATTTTAAGTTCCATGAGAACATATTGAGAATACAGCATGACATTCGTACCATTAAGTAGCGAACATGAAACGATGATATCCAAATCATAATATTGGCATTTAACTTCTAAACAACCTACAAAACTTGAATGAGTATTCAAGTTTTGGACTTCGGAAGGAGAAAACATTACCATTCAGAAGGAAACTATACATGACCAAGGGAGAAAAAATGGTGCACTTGTAAGATCAAATTGTTGGGTTTCAGCCCAAGCGGTGCTCTTCAGTTGCTTAATAAATAAAAAATCCAATTGCATTTTCTTTGCTATTTAATAAAAATAAAACTCTTGTAAGTTATTAACTATTAAACATTTTTTTGACTTCATTATATTCCTTAGAAATGCTCTCATCCATACTCTACAAGAATAACTAACTGAAATTGCAAGAGCTAAGATAAGTGAAAAAGAAAAAAGAAGCAATTGCAAGCAAGAATGTACATAAATAATTGTAACTGAAAATCCAAAAACATGAAAAATATTTAGAGAGGAGCCACTGCACCAATAAAATAACTGAAAAAATCAGCAGATGCTGAACACAAATCAGCCACGGTCCATGAATAAATATTTCAAATATCATGTTACATCAGAAATGAGTGAAACTAAACTACCTCAAAATCAATTATCTCTGAATCCAAGTGCCTTTCAAACTTGAGTGAAAGTTCCCTCAGCTCATATACTTTGACTTGTGGTGGGTAAATACCTGAATTTCAATAGTAAAAATCACAATTGGTACAAGTTCAAATGTTTTACTCCAAACGCGTACACACGCAACACACAAATAGACATTTTATGTAGAATTCCCTTTTTATTGTGAACATAAAACACAACATAGAGTAAAGCTTAAAGGCACCTGCAGCAATTAGGAACTCCCCATCAGGAGTTGCCTTGATTTTAGTAGTTGCAGTTTCAAATCTCAAGTCCTGGATCAAGTCCACCCTTTGCATATAATCTGACAAACACACAATGAAGAAAGATCTCCCATTAGATGAAATTAATGCCAAAAAGTTTTGTGTCAGCTTGAGATGATTTTGAAAACATATTTCCATCTCTGACTAATTCTCAAATGATCATAGTCCATAGAAATTAATCATATGTTATGATCCCTTCCCTTTAAATAAGTTTGATTGGGAAAGTAGACTTCAGAACTCAAGCACATTTGTGTTAAACTTAAATTTATTTATTTATTTATTTATTTTTTTTGTGGAGTCCAAAACTCTGACATCATTGAGGGAATTAAACAAGAGAAATAAATGCCCAACGAAGGATTGTATTCCTCCCTCTACTACAGGTGAACATGGTTTGCTTCAGCAGATTTTCACTTTAAACCTACACTTCCAGAATTTTACACGAACACCGTCCAGGGTTTTAAAGTGGTTGCAAATTAAACCTTATTGAGAAATTGACGTGAAGTATGCAAACATAATCCCAGTCGTGCATAACCAATAATAATAGTTTATTTAATACATGATCTTTCTATAAGAATATTTAGCGGAGAGTCAATTCTCAATATAAAATTAGAATGTAAATGATTAAAACTGATGATTTTTAATTGTTCAACTTCAATCTATAAAGCACGTATAATATTACAAAGAAAAAATTAAAACAAGCATTATACTGCTCTATAGCATGCAATTTATCCTAACAGATTCCAACATAATGATTAGCACCCTAGAATGAGAAAAATCAAGGTATTGATATTCGTCTAGGTTTTCACTGAAAGTCCTCAAAATCTGCAATAAATGTACATGAAGTTCTCTAAACTCTGAAGTCGACAAAATCATAAACAGAATATATAAAAAAAAGGTATCTCCATTAAAACAAAATTAACTAACTGGAAAAAAAATCAAATCAGAAGAAGAAGTAGAGGGGTATACTTTGGTCTTTGCGAAGTGCTCGACGCTTCTTAGGGTCAAGCCAGGTGGCGAGAGAACGTTGCTGGGAAGCAACGCTGTACATCTTGACACCATTGATGGAGGTCGACTTGAGTTTGCCTCCATCGTATGCCATGGAGTCACTAACTCAAAGGTTAGAGAGAGAGAGAGAGAGAGAGAGAGAGAGAGAGAGAGAGAGCCGCGCCTGTTTGTCAGAGTTGGAAAGCTTAGGCATAAACATAAATAATAATAAAAATTAGATGCAAATAAAAACCATTTAAACAAATTTGCTTCTAATATATACATCGGGACTAACAAAGAAGAGAGAAGTTGTTTGGCAGTGGCGTCGGAATAGAAAGTTTTGAGAGCTCAGAGAGGAGGTTAGTGATTCCGGCGACGACTTGTTCTCTGGCTTCGTGGTGGTGGCGGAGGGGAAGAAAGAGAGGAAAGCAGAGGGAGGAGGGTGGCCTGTGCGACGGGGAAATGGGTTTAACTTAAACCTCGTCCAGTGATTAGATGTTGGAAGGTACATGCTATTTCATCCAGAAACTACTGGTATGGTGACGCGTGTAACTTTTATTACAAATGGTACTTAGGTTTTGGTTCAGAATAGTATCATTCACAAAAATAAACATATATAATCCCGGTTCAGTTTTCGGCCCCATTTTGACTTTTTTAGTCGAATAAGTTTTTATTTTACTAACAAAGGTGGCCGCACGATGTTGAGGGTTTAAATTACAAAATAAAGACTAATAATATGTTTTATATGTTGCTTGTCATCTTAAAATATTAATCATATTTTGGAAAAATTGAAAATCCACAACAACAAATTAAATAAGGAATATAATTAATTGCAATCATTAAGTTTTACTAAAGATTTGGCAAAATCTGGGAATTAGGAGATTCCAGTTGACAAAAGTCTCTCTTCCAAAAGCATAAGCAAATATCATAACAAAATCATTTAGCCTTCAAAAAGGATGGAAGCAATTTCATAATATCAGAAAAATCAAAAGGGGAATTTAATAATTTGTCGATTGTTACAATGGTTTTCCTGGTCACAGGTTGCACGTATAGCAGAGTGTAGAATTGGGCAAAAAACTTTGAAAAATTAGATCGAATCTTTAAGAAATGGTAACACAACATGGTATACAAACTTTATAGATGCAGAAATCATTTTGATGCAAAATTACCTCACTCTTTTGCACTCTTAAAAGAACCGGACCCCCAATTTTTTCATCTCCATTTATCTAATCCGTATATGAGTAGACAATATAGATCAAACTCTATTAGATGACCTATAGAGATATATATACTCATACATCAAATTGCTGTTATGCAATATGAAACAATGGTAGTACACATAAACACCCCGTTTGGTTCACGGAATGGATTTGATGGGAAATCATTTCCCATGTGATTTCCCAAGGAATGGGAAATGGTGGTTCCTTTCCCATGTTTGGTAATACCGGGAAAGTAACCCGGAAATATCACTTTATTTCCTTTCCCATGTTTGTTTTGAGTAGGAATGGAAAACAAATTTTGTTTGGTTTCCCAATTGTACCCCTATTAAAAATATGAAAAATCTATTAATTTTATTAAACTTTCCAATTTAATTATTAAACATTACACCAATGTCCTATTGATGGTCCAAATATGCAAAATTTCAATTTCTGACCTTTGGTGTTGGATTAGTTCTTTCTTGTCACTAGTCAGTTCTGTGCTTTTTAAAATAAAAAAAATGAATACAATTTGCTGGAATTGAGTGTATTCTTATCAAAAAGCAGTCCATATGCAAAACAGTTCATCTACATATGAATTTAAATATATATATATTATACTTTAAAAAAGACTAATCAGCATACATAATAATAATAAATAAATAAAAAAGAATTGACTTCAACATCTCAACATCTAAACATCATCAACATTCTAAAAACATGGCTTTATATGAATTAAACATAAAGCAGTTAATCTGCATCTCTCAAACTGCATATACAGCTAGCAGAAAATTGGATCACAATCACACAATTCAGAAAACAAAACCAATTGAAACATCATCAACATTCTACAAAACTAGACTTTATATTTATTATCCTCATATTGATTTCATATAAAACAAGACTTCAGATATGACTAGCAAAGGTGCCCGCGCGATGCTGCGGGTTTTAAAACTATCTGAAATGTGTATAAAGTTATGAAAATATATAGCAAGTTTAAGTTAGAAAATAAAAACTAATAACATGTTTTATATGTTGCTTGTTATCTTAAAATATTGATCATATTTTATTAAACCAAGCAGCAATCAAAATATCAACAGTTGAGCTGCTCTTTGTTCAAGAGAGTTCGGACATGTCTTTACATATATGCTACTGGTTGGGGAAGGGGATTTTTGTACCTTGATGTCTGTTGAAAAGGAATCTATCTCTTGTTGGCTCTACTGTAGAAGTGGTTTCTATTGAATGAAGGCAATAACGATTATCACATAATTAAGTTAAAAAATCAATACATGACAAACAACAATTTAGATACATCAAGCATTCTATTAATATGATGGACAAAGATCTAAGCTCAGTTTATTTAATTAATTGATAACAAATTTAGAACTGTGACAATTTATTAAATACGCAAAAAAAATCAATTGCATAAACCATAATTTAAATATGCCAAGCATTGTACGAATCTGGTGGACAAAAGTATAATTTCAGTCATTGCACAAATTATTAAATACCTATGCCATAATGAAACCAAAAGATCCAAACTTTAATAAATGAAACCAAATACCCATATCAGAATCAAACCTTGCGCAAGTTTGTTGTACAGAAGCATAGAAAATCTATAGATACCTATGGTCAAAACTGATACATATATTGCCATTTATAGACTAAGTTCATCCAATGAGGAAGTAAGCTGATATAGTTCAAAAATAAACTGTATTGCCATTTATGTCACAACATCTACAAATCTTAGTAGAATAACACTTGGTTCCACTTGAAATTTGTAGCACAATACCTACAACTCAAGAAATATAAAATGATGTGATTAGCCTATATGGTAGATTGCAGAATTAATGATAAGAATTGATCAATAAGACTTGTGTTAACTGTGAGAAATTAATGTTCAAGCAAATACATATATAGGTTAAAATCAAGTTTGTAACAAATTATTAAAAATGGTATAATAGCAGTTGGCTATGACCAAATTTAAAAGAAAATTCCTAAAAAAAGGATGAAATACCAAACTTTCATTCAAATCAAGAAACACAAATAAAACATTTTGGACAGAAATTTAACTACTTTGAGCATAATATTCTGGGACAATAAGTGAACAAAAAGTTTCGAACAAAAACAGGAAAAAGAAAAGAAAAAAAAAAACCTTTTTCAATCTTGTCTAGCCTGCAAAGAACCTCTTTTTACTCACAGCCTCTTCTTGATTCTCTTGTACACTGTTAACATCTGCAAAAATTGAAAAGCCACAAAAAGAAAATAAATGAAAATCACCACAACCTCAACTAAAAACACCAAATGAACTAATGTTTTCTAATGAACACATTGTAGTCCATAAAACCCAAGAAAAATGTCAAATTATGACCAAATAAATCCTGTCCTGCTGACAGAATAGTAGGAAACAAAACAATCACTTTACCTATGGAAGCATTTTGTGGAAGGCATTGAAATGAATGGGATCTAAATCACATGGAGTTCTATCAATATCAAATAGCACTGCTTCAAGTGGAGCAAGTCCAGAGAGGGAACTTTTGCTGGTTCCAGAGACACATCATAAAAGGAAAAAAACAAAAAAAAAGGCAATGAGGCATTAGTATAATAAAAGAATGAAACCAAAAAAATACAAATGTAACATTTGCACCACCTGTTTCTCTGTAACTGATCTTTCATCTTCTCATTGCTCAATTCGTACGCAACATGATATAATACCAAACATATATATAGTTTTGAATAGTTGCAATAATTTATTTAACTACTTTAGGCAAATATTCGGGGAGAATAAGTGAACAAAAACGGTCGTACAAAAACAGGAAAAATAAAATAAAATAAAAATCATTTTCAACCTTGTCTAGCCTGCAAAGAACCGCCTTCTACTCACAGCCTCCTCTTGACGCTCTCAGACACTACTATCATCTTGCAAAACCTGAAAATCCACAAAATGAAATTGATCACAATCTCAGCTAAAAACATCAAATGAACACATTGTACTCCATCGTTAAACCCAATAAAAAGGCTACATAATGCGTAACTGCCATTTCTTAATATGGGCTCTCCATATATATATATTTCACAAATTTAAGCAAGAGAAAAGAACTGCAAATCTGTTTAAAACTGAAATGAAAAGAAAACAAATCATCATCCCTGCATATAAGAATAAGAAAAGAAACAGTGCAACAAAAATATGGAAAAATATTTAATCCCATAAGCATAAACTCAATTTAGTTTACCAAAATTAATGCATGCATACATTATTTTGGAGCAAAGATGTCTTGAATATTGATTTTCTTTTCTAAAGAGAAACGATATATTGAAAAGGTGGATAAGGCATCCGCAACCAAACAGACAAAACATAGAAACAACCCAAAAAGGCCAAAAGAAAGAAAAAGAAAAGAAGCGCCATCAACAATTACTCATTTATGAACAGAGATTGCAAAAAATCAAACTTGTTTTCTATTTTTTCTAAGCAAATCAGTTGAAAACAAAATATCAGAAGCAGGATTGGTCCTTGAGCACCAATAGACTTGAAAATCAAATATGAAAAGCAACATTGGTCCCTAAGCACGCTTTTATGCGTCAGTTTTTGGTTGATTAGTTCATTAGCTTTAATATATCAACTTTTGGTCAAGACTAACTATTTTCTTTTTTAACATCATTCATTATAATTGATTAATGAATTAGTACAATTGTTTTTACGATTGATTATAATCGATTAATGGATATGTCTGGTTCATAACCATAATGAAATTTTTAATAGAACACATACGCAGTTCTTCAATTCAATCAAAAATCAATCCTACCACATATCCAAATCATAATTTCAATGAAAAAAACAACTCTATACACATACCATTCTCCTATGTTTTTCCCTCTCCATCAGTCATCAACATCATTAGAAGTCATCATAGTAAGAAAAGAACACATAGACTGTCTGATGTTGACAAAGATGCTCTCTTTCCTTTCCAAATCAAATCCACCGTTACAAAATCAATAAACACATTATGTACAATCTGAACCCAACATTACTCACACACCCATTCAATAATAAGAATCAAAAAGATTGAAAAAGGGAAAAAATTGTGGGGAAATGAGAGAAAAACACCTGTTGAATCCAAGGATAATAATGACTCAATTTGCTCATTTTTCCTTTGAATAAAAATTAAAAAGATTGAAAAAGGGAAAAAAATTGTGGGGAAATGAGAGAAAAACACCTGTTGAATCCAAGCATAATAATGACTCAATTTGCTCAATTTTCCTTTGAATTCCAAACAGGCCCTGTAAATCACTTGAGGATTCGCAATTCAAGGACAAACAAACAAATGGTTAGTAAGTATGCCTGCGTAATCAAATAGTCACAAACACAAATCAAAATATAAAATAGAAAATTAATTACTCTGTTTTTTCTGAATCATCAAAATTAATTACTCTGTTTTTTTCTTGCACCCTAACCCTAAACCCAACCTCATTTTCAATCTGTTAGATCAAAGCACAGAAAAACATTGTTTGAGAGAGAGAGATGGACCTGGAGTCCTGGAGCTTGCTGTGGACTTCTTTTTGACGCCGAGAACGATGGTGTCGGTGCCACGTACGCCGACGGCGGCGTTACCCGTGCGCACAGCTTTTAGATAGAGATTGATTTTCGAATCAAAAGAGAAGAAGGCAAGGAAACAGTTGAACAATGGAAGCGTATGGAAAGAAGAAGGCAACGAAGGGGGCGAACGATGGAAACGAAAACTGAAGGCTTGGGCAGATGGTTCTGCAAAAACGTCGAACATTCCAGATGTAGGCATCGAAGGAGACGGGGGGCAAAACGGGAAAGAGATGAAACTAATTAATTAAGGACAAAACCGTGATTTCACTGTTCTGATGAGAAAAATGAGTGTGCAAACAGTAAAAAGAGAGGGACACAAACGTCACTTCACTATTGCTAAGCTACAGTCTAGGAACAGTGAATTCCTAAACTCAGTTTTAGTATATATATAATTTTAACATAAAACAGTTCCTCAAGCTACATATGCAGCTAGCAGACTGAAAGTGTATTTTTAGTTGGCTATTTCCTAGCAAATGTAAAAAATCTGTAAGTTGGGTATTCCTAGTCTTAGAATTAATTGTAACTTGCGATAGTTGGACCTTGCGGTAAATGAGGAGCATGATTGACTAGTGTTACACGGCAAAACTCTTTTATGGTAAGAATCATTTGCATTCATATTGGATTTGTTTTCCCAATTAAAGATTGAGTTGGTGTAAAGTCTATACAAATCTGCATAGAGTCTTAAATAAGGAAGAGGTTTAAATCAAGCCAATCTCTTTGTTTATTAGGTAAACGAGTTAACTTAGTATATAAAGGGTTGTGCTATAAGTTTTCCTTTTACCCTCCTTTGTGCACTATAATCAAAATCGTGAGATTGTTTTATAAGATCAAGAGAGAAAGATAAAAGGCTGTTTGAGAGCATAACATATCATTCATTCATTATGGAACATTATGGAAGCTTTCCTTGTTAGGAAGATCAACATGTGTGAATTGGTGTTCATCCAAGAGAAAGTGAAGAGGACGTGTTTGTACAAGACAAGAGTATTTGATCAATCTTCTTTTGTGGTGTAAGAAAGTATCAATTGAGTATTGTATTTGTTCTTAAGTTTTTAGTGAAATTGGTTGTGCGCTTTGAGGTTTTTCTCTCCTATGTGGAGGGTTTTTTCCTCGTGCGAGATTTCGTACAAATACGTTGTCTTCATTTATTTTCTCAATTTGTTGTGTTTTTTATTTTTGCTGTGTAGTACAAAGATTGAATCACATATCAATCCTGCATATTGCATTTTAATATTGATCCATCTGGGTTTACAATTTCATAGACCATTAAATCTAATAAAAAAAAATTCTGAAAACAAAACCAATGACAACATTATCAGCATTTTAACAGCAAATATGAATTAATCACAAAGCAGTTTGAGAAACTGCATATGCATTTCATGAAACTGTTTTTCAAAATCCATATGCAACTAGCATACTAATAAAACTATTCATCAAAATGCCTCTACAACCAGCAGATCGATTGAAGTTCCTCACTCACAATCACAAGATTCTAAACGAAAAAACAAGTACTACAACATCATCAACAGTTCCTTAAAATGCATCTGCATATGCATCTAAAATTCAAAATACAATATAGCCCAGCCAAGCTTAAGTCATCACCTACATTCCAAAATATTGCACTAAAACATTTCAATAAGATAGTTTCTAACATGAGATTCATTCAAATTGTAGAACTAAAAACCATTTCTAATACTAGTGAAGAAGTTTCTTAACCCATTGTATCTTTAAATTATCTGGTAAAGTGAACAAGAGGTCAATTTTTGCGTCATCATTGATAATTGCAGCAGCAACATTAGAACACATTTCATAGTCTCCAAATGAGTCTTGGTCATGTCCACAAAAGATCGAAGTGTGCTAGCCATATCTCCTATAGTTTGCGACCAATTGTCATTTCGTGCCTTTTATTGGGACGAGTTGAAGGATGACATATAGGAGTTTGGGTAGTAGGGGAAGAAAAATTGATGTCATC